CACTTTGTGGTACGTCACGGAATTTTTTCCTTCATTACAATTTGCATGGAAGAAATGTATTAGACTCCCTGTTTCATTAAATCAACGGGTACCTACATCAGTAGGCAATGAATTCCCGTTCAAATCGACCAGACTTAGATCTTGAATACATACTAAAGTTTCTCCAAGTGGACAATTAATGCCTCGACATTTTCTAAATGTCATTTGTTAATCTGCTCTACCTTTTTACTTTCATTTTGTACTAAAATAAACTGCCCGCCAGCCGACAATAACAAAATGTCAGAGAACACTTTCACTCGTAGCGAAACATGTTAGATAGAAGATCGGACAAAGTATAAACAAATGGATTAAAAGGAAAAGACAAAGGGTACCCCACTTTTATTGGTTACACATAGAAAAACAACAAGCTAAAACTGACACGAAAAAGTTCATGAAAAACAAATCTCATTAACCATTTCATTATCTTACATCTTTCTAGATAATTATAGCACTTGTTTACGTTAACAGGTATCAGATAAGTGTTAACAATTTCATTAACCACAGACGACAGATAACAACGGATGCGCCCGCGCAGCGTAATAGTTTGTCAACAATGGCTCTACTATCGATTAGAGTGTTACATACTCGTTACGGCTTCAATGGATCAATTGATATGCATAACTGTTCAACATTGAACATTGTAAATTGCTTTGTACGTACAAGTGAAACTCGTATTCAAGACAATTTTTATTCATAACTTCTAGCAAATACTTAATTACAGTTTTAGATACATATCTACATAGCAAGAGGTTTTCAAAACTAAGGTATATTTGGAAACCTGTAAGACAATCGAAGTGGAACGATTTGTAAATAAAACCTTAGACATTTTCCGCTAAAGTTTAACTGCATGGTTGATAATAAACTTGACTGGCGCATTACCGAAGGGTGTCGTGAGTTCTTGTGGAATAATCCAATTCATTTACGCTTACACTCTTCCTCTTCTCCGTGGCATAGTTATTTATAACTCCTCGCCAATATCCTACATAACTTCCACTTCGTATTTGTGTATAGTAAAGAGATATCTACTTTCACAATAGAAAGGATAATTATGTAGCTGTTCCTTTCCGTGTAACTTTAACCAGTCCATGATAGACTCAGTGGTAAGGCTTCTTCGTCGCTTCGAATTTCTTGGAACAAAGTTTAATTTCCCGTACAGGAAAATACATGCGATCTCTTGAGTAACGTTTCATTTAAAACTTACATTTCTTCTACAGTAGAGCACATGAAACTAGCGGTTCACCCCTACATTTAAAGTGCCAGTTACATTAATCTTTTTCAGTCTAGTAGGCAATTTGTGTGTTTGGCAACCATTATTTCATGGTCTCCCCTGCATTGTAAGATTCATATAAATATTCACGAACAACAATACTATCCATAATCTATTACGACGGCTCTCCAGTTGTCGAGTGCAGAGCTCGGGGATAGTACTTACGCGATAAGTTCGATCCCTCCGGTCCCTCCACCCTCTCGAGGGCTGACGTCATGTCAAGCGGAGAAATCTTTCAAGGTCGCTAGAACTGTTTTGATTCAATAAATGTTTTGTGAATTTCTAACGCGTAAAGAATGTATTTCAATTTTATCTTAAAATGCCTTAGAATAAGGTACTAAATAAAGCTACTTAATACTGATACTCTGCTTTGAGAGAAAACATAAATGTTTTCTACCAACTCCGCAGCAATTATGTGACTAAAGTTATTGAATTGGCTCACCATTTACTAACCAACTTCATGGTTCCATTATGAGTGGAATAACGATTTTTCTAGTGAATAAACCGCAAGGTGGGTCGGCCACGCCCTGTGGGTACCCACAGTATCTAATAGTACAATCATAACGTCATGGATCTGAGACGACCTTGACCGCAGACATGAATCATAACAATCATTGTGAAAATTAAGGATATGGTCCATTTAAGTAGATAATGAGGACTCTACCAGACATATTCTACGCTAGTGTACAACAAAATCTGGTAGTATTCGCAATTTACATATCAGGCTTGACTTGTGACTCATTGCGAGTGTTCGGGAATTAGCTGACGATAAAATATCTGTAAATCGTTAAAGAAACTGTAACAGCAACGGTATCCAATTGAAGCTGCTAGAATTCGTCGGAACATCGAAACATTACATCACTTTTATTGCGAGTGTTTGACATGGTAACTCTTTATTTCTTTAGCACCCTGACTTCAGTTTTCAGCTCGAATCCATTGTAGCGAATCACATCTGTAGTTGCCATATAACCCAAATGCAAGGTTACAGGATATTAACAAGGCCCGTGACCTACCCACCGTGCAATATAAAACGTGTACCTACTCATAAAAAATGAATGAATGGTTGAATTAGGACAACGGAACCCAGATTGCGACATTACTCGAATTGTGTAATAACACTGCAGATGTTTTGTGTAACAAAAAAATTTTAATGCCGCCTTTTTGCGTCATCCGTCAGTCGCGTTCCTCTTTTGTAGGACCATAGTTCATTGTACGATTGTAATTTCTTTTCGGATTCCTTTTGAGTCGCTAAGGTTATTATTTCTGTTCTGAATAAGTCTTGCGTATTTCAAAATATCTCAGGGTAAGAGAAATTTTTAGCAAAAGCATTTCATTCCTTATACCATTTTATCTTAAGTACTACAAATAGATTCGGTTTCATCCTGAAAAATGACAAATTGAATACGTTGCATATATGTAACCAAATAGGATTATAATAAAACAGATTGGAAGGTTCGGAACTATTTCCGGGGATTTTGGAAGTTGCTTCTTTGGCTTTCGATTTCGGACGATAAGTCGTAGTTTTCGCAATTTTTTTAAGTTATTGTGCGCAGTTATGTTTAAAGTTGTGTGTGCTGCGGTTGCCTAGATCTCTTGATCTGTTATGACGTGCAAACCTTACAACAAACAAGGTAATTTTGGGTTATGTAGATGCTATGGTATCATAATTTCGTGTTTCCTGTATAATTTCGTTCATATCATCTTCATTTCCGTCGTCTAAAAATAAGCCTTTCTCCATAATTATCTGAAGCAAAGATACATTTTTTCCAGTTACCTAATGGATCTAAGATAGAAATCATCAGATGACGGCATGTGTATAATTAAGTATTATTATTAGTTGCAATAATAGCAAGGACTCCACCATGAATGCTGGCAAGCCTCGCAAGTGATGTCATGTTAGTTTTAATGTACTAGTATTCATTATACAGCTGTGTAGGTAGGTCAGTATGACACAAACTATCTGTAAATATGATCTGACATAATATATATATTGTAGAATTTCTTTGAACAAATAGTTGATCACATTCTTCATTGCATGTAGTCTTGTCATCAAATTTTTTTGTACCTATAATAGTATAGGTAGTTTTTTCTGTAGTAACTTTACTTTTTTAAGAAGAATTTTCTTCATAAATATACTCTCTTTATTGACAAGACTTTTTCCAATGATACTATAAAAAAACATCTTCTATTTGTAACTGAAACAAAATGTATTCAACAATCAATTGATACAATTATAATCTTTTTGTTTACTAACTTTAAATTCAACTCATCAACAGCATCAGAACATGTTGTATATTATCATTTATAAACAATATTATAAGTGGGTGATGATGACTTCTGATGACGGTCCATAGTTCTAATTGGGTCGGCAGACTAGGTCAATTAGAATGGCCTTTTTAACACATACTTCAGAAATAATCTTCATAACACATGATATAATAGGCAGGGAATACCAGATTTAATTGCTACCTACACCATTTTAAAAATGAAGTTTGTAGAGTCAACCTTTTATAATAATTTGGCTCTACCATAGATGTGTTTTTTAATTATGTTATTAATTCAAAATTGGTTTCACCACAGTTAGTTGTAATAAATAAAAAAGAACCTTGGAGTTGATGACTTTTGGTTGTGTGGTTTAAAAAATAATGTGATTCTTAATTTTTTTCAATAACATCATTTTCTTGTACATAAATACAAAGTGGGGATTGTTTTTGTACCAATCTAAGCTTTATTACCATGTTACATAAAGCTATTAACTAGTTCAAACAAAATCACTAACCTTGATTCTTCATGCAGAGCACAGATTCAAGGCCAAACAATTTGTATGGGGGCAAATAAGTCGATGGTATCAATGACACAAATAACTACGTACAATCAATATGTCTATACATATTAATAAAATTGAAGTTTCTGTTTGTAATATTGAAATAACAACAATTTGTACTACATGCATTGTATATGTGGTACATACAAATATAAAAATTTCAATGTTCATCTGTCTGTTTGTTCCGGCCAATATTTGGAATGGTTGGACCGATTTCAATCAGTTTTTTATCAGTATACATAGCAGATCTAATAAGGAGTACCTTAGGCTACTTTCATTTATCTTTATTCTCGAAAGAGTATAGAGGTCCCGCGCGTTAGCGATAAACAAATTTTACGTGACCGAAGACGCGGGTATAAGCTTGTATTAAATAAGAACAGTACCAGTGATATATGACCAGAATTTATAGGTATTGAAATACATGTGAATTCTATGATAACTTAAGAACCACTACGTAAAAGGAAAGAAATATATATGTAGCCTAATGTTGTCAAAAATTGCGACGTTTTTCAACCTCTACAGCAGGACATAAAAATTATATTTAGGCGTGATCCACAATGACATCATATTTGACCGAAAATCGGCAGTAACCCAGAAAAAAACGCCGCATAGTTGCGCCTGAAATAGGTCATATCCCCTTTTAGAGTGACCACCTATCCCGAGTATCTCAGTCATACGTTGTGCGCGAAAACACCCTTGCATTCCGCACTGCCCCGATTAACCGGTATTATTACTCAACTCCAGCGAAATGGACGCTTCAAAAAATTCCAACAAGAACTGCAAGTCCTCTTGAGTTCACAGTGGAGCTCAGAGGTCACAGGATACGAAAAATCACAGTGAAAAAAATAAATTAAAAAGTCATATCGGTACCTGTTTACTTTTGTTGTCGATCCCGTTCGCCTTGCCGTCTGGTACGTTGCCGTTGTTTTCCTCACTTTTTTCACTTTTCACACCCTCCAACGCCATATTTAAACGCTTATTTTATTCACTGTCATGCGAGAAATGAAATAATTTCTCGTAATTCACTGTACATGTAATATTTTGTCACAAATTCAATACGAGCAAACACTCCCATAGACAACGGGCTGTCACAACCCACAACGCGTCGCAGTAGCGGACGCATTGAGCGCGAATGAAAAATGAAACGGATTCGCTACGGGAGAAAGAGAGCGAACCAATCGTAGAGCCCGGGAGCCGACCAACCGTCGCATTTCGCTAAACCTGGGAATCGAATTTTGAGACATGAATAAGATGCTATCAGAAACAAATATTTTCTTACAGTTTTATGGACGACAATGTACATAATAAAATAGGTAATCAAACAACGTAGCGTACAAATAAAAAACTTAGTTGTGTAAGCGTAGCCGTAAAGAATATTTGAAATAAATAAATTCCTCGTATATTATATATACGAGGAATTTATTTATGGTGTAACAGGAAACTACTGCAATGAAGTTTTACATTACCTAAAAATATAATAATATGAAACCCAAGTAACCCAACTACAGCAAAACTAATGCACAGTAACGAATTATGTTTATAATATTCGTCTTTAAAATTGTTCTCTTTTAAGTTTAACATACACAAATTTCAACAATCAAAACAATTTGAAATGTTATGTACAAAAGGTAATAGGTACTTAAATTAAAATTTCCCGCCGCTATTAATCATTCTATTACCTACCACTGACATTTCAACAATTTTTTTTTTAATTTAACTTTTATCTAATTATTATTATTTTTCATAAATAAATAAGTTATAAAGTTTCATTGAACAATGTTAAATGCCAATATACCTAATTGAAATATTGAAATAACTTTCAAATATTTAATTTACTTTGGGTATTATGAAAGACCTGCTAGCTACATTAGCGCTCTCTGTGCGCTTTACAAACAACTTAATTTTTTTATTATCCGCTGATTGTGTATAGATGGCGTTAGCGTCCGCTTTAACGAAAGAAAGAAGCACCGGAAAAGAAAAACTCGGGCTTATTGTAGGGAATTTATCATTTAACTTTAAAGACGAATAATTTAGAATTTTTATAAATATTTAATGTGATATGTAATAACTATCGCTAGATATTTATTTAAAATACGACTCACCCGGTTTCCGAAAGGCCGATGAATGTTAAAATCAATTTAATCTCTTGTCAAGTCATCTGATTGGTTGTTGATAATTCAGGCAACCAATCAGATGACTTGACAAGATATTTAACAGGAGATTAGTTAATTTTAGCGTTGACAAGCCTTTCAGAAACCGGGTGTCGTCGTATTTTAAATAAATATCTAGCGATGATGATGATGATTGATTCATTAGAGATTTCAAGAAAACAGAACCCTTAACCAACTAGTAAAGATATTATTTCTCAAGTTTTATATTTCCGCCCTGGGTGTCTCAGACTAATTCACAAAAAAAAAACAGACCATTCCTTCTCTCTCTGGCTACGAGCTGGGGCAGCAGCTAATTTACCCGCAACCCTAGCTGTATTTTTTTTGTAGATTCGTTCATTTGTGGGTGAAAAGTAAGTACAGGCACACACATCACGCTAGAGAACTAATAAGAGAAAAAATGTGAAACCGTATGTCTGGTGTTTCATAATCATAACATCTAGTACTACGCACCTTATGTATTCCAGTTTTAGATAAACTAATGAGAACTATAAATAATGATTAAATATTTAAACTAAACCACTCGACGTAACTAGGTCATATCAGTAGGTATTGTTGTGCTAAGGATTTGTCCACATATCTTGGTATTTGTCTATCGTTTAGGTAGTAAACATTTAGGTACAGTACGGCCGCCGTATCTTGCCGAGTCTGAAGTTAGCAGTCTGTCTGCGCAGTGGATCTTTTAGGAACAAAATTGTGTACTGCGCAGCTAATCGGCTAACTTCAGACTCGCCAAGATACGTTGGCGGTATTGTACATGAGTTGATAACTTATTTGTAAACATTACTACATACGGACTTAGTAAGTAGATACATAATTATGGGGCAAACAACAAAATTAGTACTTTTTTCTGAGGGGAAAAGCATCAAATGGTTTCTTCCGCCCATGAGTGTCAGATTTTTGCTGAATAGTTTTTTTTGTGAGGGGAAACTCATATGATTTCTCCTGCCCAGGGCCGGGCGGGAGGGAGTGTCAGACTCTTACTGACTAAAAACCCCCCCGTTCCTTCTCCTGCTCTGGGCCGTGGTCGCGGAGCCTCATTGCGTTTACCCCGCAACCCCGGCTGAACATCAGCCCTATAGGGCCCCGTCTGTGGTGGGCTATTGGCTCTTTGAGGCGCGCGTGGAACGCTACGCGCCGTACGCTCGGGCCTGGTTCTGATCGGGCGGCGAGGTGCCCTTACTCGCCGACCGCAGACCCGCACTTACGGTGGCCGGAGCGATCTCCGACCACCGTAAGTGCGATACCAAAGGACGATTCCCTTGATCCCCGACGCCCGTAGTGTCGCCTGTTGCGGAGGCTGGGGCGTGAGGAGGAGGATGGCTCCATCACGCGGGCCGCCTCCCTCTTTGCGAGCATAACTGCTTCACAGAAGGAAGAGACGGCGTCCCAGTTCCTCTCGCTTCGCACTATGGCCTCGACTAAGGTCGGGCGCGAGAGGTCGCCGCCGGCGATCACTTCCCTGAGGACACGGGGGTGCTCAGCCCAGGCAGGGCATACCGCCTCCGTATGCTCCACCGTATCCTCTAGGTGGTCCTCGCAATGACGACACTCGGGCGTTTAATCCCGCTGGATCCGAAACAGGAACCTACCGAAGCTGCCGTGGCCGGTAAGCACCTGCGTCAGGCGGAAGGTGAGGACGCCATGGCGTCTCTCAAGCCATGACTCCTCAGAGAGGGGTCTTACCGCTGCTATAGTAGCGTGCCCGAGGGCAAGGCGGGTGGGGCCTTATTTCGCTTGCCCCACAACCTCGACTAAAAAATGAGTGCTTACATTGAATTTTCTTGGTGGTTTTTAGGACGGACAGCGGAATCTTAATAATCGAGAAGGAACCCGTTTATAAGATTTGTTTCATTGTCAGCTGAATGTTTATTTTTTCAATTATGCCAATGTTGGATGATTTTTCTTTGTACCTACTAGAGCTAAATTGTTGTAGATAATTTACTTTATTTTCTGAGTCAAGTACCTAAGCAGTTTTATTAAGTGTAGGTGTATGTATTAGGTATACATACATTGTGTACCTATTTATCGTTTACATATTATCGATTTATTACTCGTAATCTAAATATACATAAGGATAGAGACAAACTTGTGTGTCGCGATAGAACGCTAAGTTATCATAATCAAAGTAAAAGTCAAAATAATTTATTCCAACTAACCCATAAATAGGAACTTTTGAAACGTCAAACGTAATTTAGACCCCTATAAGTATAGAAGATAAAACCATTTTTTTCCTCTATGCCTATAAGTTACTCAACCGGGGTTGCGGGGTAAGCGCAATGTGGCACCGCGACCTTGGCCCAGAGCAGGAGTAGGAACGGGGGGTTTTTAGTCAATAAGAGTCTGATACTCCCTCCCGCCCGGCCCTGGGCGGGAAAAGTCATTTGATGATTTTCCCCTTACAGAAAAAAACCCCATAAGCCATGACTCGCCACGCATTTGTGTCATTAACACAAGGATCGCGCGACGATCTCCAACCACCGCGGTGGTTGGAGTAAGCATGCCAGCCACGATTGCGTTAAAACAAAGAGGATATAACCATCGACATTGCATTAAAAATAAAATGTCAAGGTTAAGGAGCCCGCTTATCATGCATGAGGGTTTGGGTTCGAAAACTGGCAAGTACCAATGTGACTTTTTCCGAGTTATATGTACTTTCTATGATTATACTGACAAACGGTGAAGGTAAACATCGTGAGGAAACCTGGACTTATTAATTTCTAATTATAAGTTTGAAATCGCCAACCCGCATTGAGCAAGCGTGGTGATTAATGCTCTAACCTTCTTCGTATGAGAAGAGGCCTTTGCTCAGCAGTGGGCACTTATAGGCTGATGATGGATTGCATTAAAATATCGAGTGGTATATTTTGCTGCTGTCTGGCTTTTTGGCGCGAGACGCCACGCTCCGGTACAGTAATATACTTATAACCGCGTTTAGGTGAAAGTCCAGGTTATCAGGGTCGTAATGTGACGGCTGATAAGTCATTCCGCAGGACATAGGACAGATAAGTGATAACGCACTATCAGTTGCGTATCAACCAGTAGGTACGGTCGTTAAAAAAATCTACATTTCGTTTGATTTGAAAATAAAGATTTTTTGGTTAATATTTTTAATTGATAAATATTTTTTGAATAATATTTTATAATAATTCATTCCTTTTTATGTCAGGGGAACATCATCAAATGACTTCTCCCGCCCAGGTTTAGGCGAGAGAGAGTCATGATACATACCTAATTAAGTACATACCCACTTTAATTTCATTGAATATCGTGAGAAATGCATCTTTCTCAACTATTTGGTTCCAAATGGCATCTACCACTTGAGGGGCAAGGGGCGAGAAGAAGTATCAGACTCTTATTGACTAAAAACCATCCCGTTTCTTCTCCTGCTCCAATGTCTTGCTCCTTCTTGTCATTCTTGTATAGGTAGGTACCTTCTTAAATTGTGACTTTTAAAGTGGCACTTACCTTACCATACCTACGTAGTCAGTTTCGGAATTAAGTGCCCACCCATCAAAATAAACGAATTAATAATTTCGTCATTTTAACAAGAAAAGAATATAAATATGTCATTGTTATGCACTTACATTTATTTAAAGAGTATTTTAAAGTCCCAAAAAAATCATTTATCATTACTTATTTATAATTTTAATCCAACTACCTGGTGTTACGTGGTCATCGGCTTTCATGAATCACATCATCATCAGCTCATAAGTGGGTGTCCACTGCTGAGCAATCTCTTCTCACACAGAGAAGGTTTGATCATTAATCACCATGCATTCCCAAGGCGAATTCGCGATTTCAAACTTATAATAATTATTAGAAATTATTAGTTCAGGTTTTGTCACGATGTTTTCCATCAGCGTATGTAAATAATCAAAGAAAGTACATAATATAACACGAAAAATGTCACATTGCTACTTGCCGGTTTTAGAATCAGAGTTTTGGAACGTGCTTACTAAAATAAATTAGGTACCTAATCATCTTTCACTTCATTAGGTGCACTGCTTTTCGTATTCATTACCTAACTAGCTTCTGCCTGCGGCTTGGCCCGCGTGGTGTGTTAATAAAAAGTGGCCTATGTCGTGTTCCGGATTCTATTATATGCCTGTGCCAAATTTTATCCAGATCTGTCCAGCCGTTTTGGCGTAATTGAGTAACAAACATCCAAACATTGTAAATTTCGTTAAGTAGTTAGTAAGTAACCTAAATAAAATAAATCACCTACTTATATTCAACTTAGTCATTAAGAAAATACCTATTAACACTTTTTTTATTTAACCAACAAATTAAAGTACTTAGTTCGAACAATAACAACAAAAGAGTTTAGTACCTAATATAATTTCCTTTGTTAAAATTTCCTTTTATATTTAAATAGTACGTGTCATATCATTAATAAATGGATACTTTTATTAATTATTTATCCTCAAATGAAGTCGAATGATGTTTATTCTGTCGGTACATACTTATATCGCGAGTTCATCCGGACGATACGTTTAGTTATGAGTGCACGCGCGATGATTAAAACGTTTCCATTGAATAAAATATTATTCTATTTATTTATTTTTAAATTTTATTTTTTATTTTAATGTATTTATTATTTGAGATTCAAGAAGTGCTGTGTGGTGTTGTGTGTTGTGTAATTTAAATAAATATTTTAGTTAAATTATTTATTTTAATTAAAATTTTGTGAAAATGATGAAAGGTAAGTTTTACAATATTTTTTTTTATTTCTAATGATAATTTTTTTATTTATTATTTAGAAAAATATTTGCATACGGTTAAAAGCCCTAAAATGTCGCAAAAAGTATTTCACGCCACATTCATTATATTTCTGCAGGCATAGTTGTAATGTTTATAGTTATATATGTATATAATATTCTCAGTATTTATTAGTAATTTACAGTGCAATTATTAAAAGTTTCCACGTAGATAAAACTAATCGTAAGTACCTAGGTTGTTTAAAAAAAATATTTTAATTGTGACACAAACTTAAATATTATATCTATCATTTTAAATTAAATACATTATAAATACTTTCATTTAAGTTTTGTTCTAATACAAATTCCAGAATCAAATTCGAATTGACGAACTCTTTGAGTACCCAACTGTCTGCACGTTGCTTTTTCCCTCCAAATTCAAATCCGATTATTAACAAACCATAACTATAGCTACATTATAAACATACCATTCCTATCAAAAACTTTAACATAAGAAACACATTTGACTACAAACCACTCCTAGAAACCAGATAGGTCTTACTTACATGTCTATTAATATTATTTACTCGATAAATTAAAAGCAGTACTATGTTTACCACAATCTAATTATATGGTATGTAAATTGATGCATAATAATTATTATGCATTACATACATGTTGATACTATAGGTTAATATTGTGTCAGGACAGTGCATGCTGTTGTTAGATGACGGCCGATCAAGGTCCAAAGACAACGAGATGGAAGCAAATTGTATTTTATTAAGAGCCTGGACAAATAGTAAACGACACCATTTTAACAGAGGACGAACGTGCCAATTATTCTTTTATATTTGTCTGGATTTTAAAACAGACTGATCTCAGTGCATGTTTTGGCATTTCTTCTCAAAGGATTCACATAGGAAATGCTAGGTTCAAATTAAAAAAATACTTTTGTTGACGTGTAAGTATATAAAACCTAAAAATCTTAAAAAAAAACAAAATTTAAAATAACATGTTCTATAGATTCTTGGTTAGTGTTCTACATTTGAATTCTCATAATTGAAAAGAGGTAATATGGAAATTTTTTGCTGGTTTTGATCAAAATAAATTTACTTATACTTACTTTAAGACGAGCATTGTAGCTTCGCTTAAAGAACAGTACTATACATAGCTATTTTAAATTTAAATAAACTTGATTCGAAAATATTAATTTTATTTCCAAGAAGACAAGTAGCAGGTCTGTGCAAATAATTTTATCTTATGGGCTTAAATAATATATAAACATTACAAGACAATGCTATCGTACGTACTATGTTTCGGGTGACAACGCAGTTGATTCATTTGCGAAGTTTTTCATTCTTGTTTGGTTTTGCATTTATTTTTTAATTATCGGTTAGCGTGTAATTTCTTGTATTATATTTCCTCTGTATTAATCAATACATGATGTGATCTTAAACACGTAGAAAAAATATAGTTATCCAAAAGTTTTAAACGCTATGACGGAACAACTAAATAGTACAAATGGTAAACAAAGTCGCTTTTTCAGTCCCTATGTCCCTATGTGTGCTTAAATCTTTTAAACTACGCAACGGATTTTGATGCGGCTTTTTAGATAGAGTGATTGAAGAAGAAGGTGAGAGGAAGAGGAATGTATGTATAATAACATTCATTAAATAGTGGATACATTTTAATGTAGCATTGATCCGTGCGCAGCCGGGGCGGGTAACTAGTTAAGAATAAAATGGGTATACCTACGTGACACATTCCTCGATATTACTTGAAATATGTTTAGGCATAGGTAAAACTTTTGTTTATTTATTTAAATGTCATGTCATGAATAGGTACTTGCAAATAAAACAGAATCTGGTATTTTCCTTAATAAAAACCAATTGTGTAATAAACTCGCAACTTCACGCAAAATCCTATTTTTCAAGCCATTTGACCTTTGGAAAATCTATACTACTTAATATTATAAAGCTGCAAAGTTTGCTTGTTTGAACGCGCTAATCGACGAAACTGCAGGTTCGAATCGAACAATACGGTTACTTAAGACTGTTAAACATCACGCTATATCTGTAGGAGCCGAGCAGCGAGGGAAACCGCGCAATAGTAGCTAGTTCAGAATATAACTACATGATGTGTATAAGGTCTAGAAAATCACAACATGAATGCAAACTTACTACTAAACGGACAAAGAAAAACCGGTTAATAATTACTACAACGCCTTGAAAATTAGAACAATGTGGTTTGTTCCGAAAACCATTGCAATTATCTACTTTGCACGCAAAATGCAGTATTGTAGAGCGTATAATAAACAAAGGCTCTTGATAAAAATACTATCGCATAATAATTATTACCTATTAATTAGGTACCTGCAAAAATTTATAAACAAACTCATAATGTCAAGGAAAATAAGTTATTTGATGATTTTACTCCCTTTAAAAAAAAGTTTAATTTTTTTTTATATTTAGTTTTTTTTCTTCTAAAACAACCACAGCTTTTTGTTTCGCCGTGTGAGTAAGGTCACCGGCGACCCAATCCTTCCCCTCCTCCAATCGGAGATTTCGGAATTGGGGAGGTCCAATTCCGAAATCTCCAAATCTTTAATCCCCAAAAGAAACGTAGCGCACTCGTAACTCCTCTGTTGTTTTGCTTGCTTACAAACAGGCAATCTGTGTGCTCGTTTGCCGACCTACCACATAAAAAAGACATTTATTTGTAGGTAATCCAATGAAACTTTACCGAATAACATGCGCTTTCTACGTTGATGAACATTGCCACACTTAAAAAAACACTGCGAGAAAACCAGTACTTATAATTTTCAATTATAAGTTTAAAAACGCAAATGCGCCTCCAGCAAGCGTAATAATTAATGCCTAAACTTTTTTCGTGTGAGAATAGTAGTTTGTTATTAGTTATAGTTTAGTTATAGTTAGTTAGTTATTTGTTATAGTAAGTTTACTTTGCTCAGTAGAAAATACATGCTTTAATAATTATGTCAATAACATTTACTTATGTCCAATTTACACTACTAAGTATACTGTGCCATAGTAGTTTGTCCAAATCCTATCAGTTTTCAGCTGCCTTCTAGCTTAAATTTTCAGTGTGTTTTCGATCACGAAAAAGCTTTTATCTTCATAACAGTTTATAGATTTTTTCAATCTTTAACAAGGACCTCTTCAATAGTGCTCCACTAATTTTTTTCCATAACACCAATAAAATATATTTGTATGATGAAGTGGAACAAATAAGTAATTTACAACCGTTTATGTCATCAGTTGCAGTCGCCATACACATATAACAAGGCTGAGCGCCGGCTAATTGAGCCAATAGACAATATTTACCTACAATGGAGTCAGTATGCTTTGTTAGTTAGATATCGACTATAGACAATAAATGCGACCTTTATGTAGGTACTGTTAAGAAGTACCTTCAGTAACAATGCTTTTGAGTGAGGGTAAAATCATAAATGACTTCTCCCGCCCAAAATGAGGCGAGAGAGTGTCAGAGACTCTTGGGCACTGACTAAAACTAATCTAAAATTCAGCTGGTGTAAGCGCAATATCTTACCGTGGTCCTATCCTGGAGCAGGAGAATGCATAGGGTGGTTTAGACTTTTTAGTTAGTAATAGTCTGACACTTCATTTAGCCTTAGCCAGGGCAGGAGAAGTCAATTAATGACATTTTTGTACCGACGTCTAAAATATGTGTCAGGAGAAACTTTTCGATACCAATGAATAAACAAATAAATGTACTGGACAACAAACTTATTACCTCACATTGATTCTCATCGAAGGCCATCAATAAACGAGTTCGCTGTTCTTACATACACCGGTGTTAAATATCAATTGAACTCATTCTGGGTACCTTGTTTCCAATCTGTGCATATTTATATTAATAAGCATCATTCATTCTGTATCTATGTATGCAGAATACATAGATATTATATCTATTGATGATTGATTTATCTAACTGCATGGTTGGTGCGGTGGCTGGGCAACTGGCTGCCGTGTAACGTGTCCCGGGTTCGATCCCCGCACGGGATAACCACATAACATAACCCTTTGTGATGTTTTCATAAGTAATAACTATCGTGAGACATACTAAATTAACTAAAAATCGCGGGTTACTCACGTCTATATTGAGAAAAGCTCTACTAGTTTCGTCGGCTGCGCGACGTCGCTCGCCGCGTCCGCGCACGCTGCTCATGAGGAAGAACCCCTCTGTAGTTCGAAACTAGTAGAGCTTTTCTCAATATAGACGTGAGTAACCCGCGATTTTTAGTTAACCCCTTTGTGATGTGCTATTTGATGCAAAGTATGCCACGATAACTCGAAACTTCAAGCAAAATCCTATTTTCAAGCCTAAAAGTATGGAATGCCCTATTGCTTCGATCTATAATTCGAAATGCACAGATTGTTGTTCCGGGTGTGGGTGGCTTGTCTATGTGAAATTGTATGTTTGTATTTTTGTAACCAGACCCACGACACAGAAGAAAATCAAGAAGAAATAGAAGAAACAAGACTTGCTTGAAAATGACTTTGCACTAACTTACTTTTGCTAACATTTTAAATGTGTGGTAGAACCATGCTTCGGCTTGATGACCCCATTCGACCCCATTGACACAAAGGCCAAACAGAAAACGGGCCTAAAACAACCATAGCGTTGTGTTTCGCTGTGTGAGTGAGGTGACTGGATACCTTTCTCGATTCCTCTCCCCCTCCTATCCTAATCTGTGAATATCAAACCCACAAAACGGTCGGCAATTTATTTGCAACTCCACTGGTGATGCGGGTGTCCTTCGACGTTACCTTATTATCACGTGACGTTGGCGTTCCAGTGGAGCAGTCTTGAAAATATAATTATCTCAATTAAACTAAATTGTATCTAACAGACTTTAGTTAAAGTTCTTATTCTTACTTCGAAAGTTTAGACTTATGTAGGACTAAGTCACTAAGGTCATTGACTTCAGTACTGTTTGAAAACAATATCAATGAAGGATATTAAGTATAAACTTTATCAACTCAATAAAAAAAAATATTTTCGTCTGCCATTATAAGAAAGCTAATATTTTAGAAGGTAATAAATATGGTTGAATGTTGTTATTTATTTATTTTTTGTATGAACAGACAGATATATTTAATTCAGTATGAATAGACCATAGAGTAAGTAAACCTTTCGAACAGACCACCACAATTTGCGGTTAACATTGGACTTAGCAAATAAACAAGTAGGAAAATTAATCATAAAAAAATAAAAATAATAAGTTGTCCAAACGTTGTTTAGCTAAAAATTATTCAAATACTTTTTAAAACCGTGTTTATGTGAATAATAAAGCATACAAACGTTTTTTTTTAACCCACACTAGGAATTTCTCCTGTATTGTTACCACGGATGCGTTAGCAAACATACAATTTGACATAGAAAAATACCCAGACCCGGAACAAGTATTTGTTGATCATACAAAGAGTTTTTCCGTGCGGGAATCGAGCCAGCGATACGTGTCCCAGCCACCGCGCGTCAACTGTGCAGTCAAATTATATTAGTATGTTAATTAAGGCAAAACATATCATATCATAATATATCCTTTCTTCTACACGACATAGTGACATTATAATAAAAAATAATTTCATATTTTTTTTACATAATAATTATGTGCAAGCTTTAGAGAGAAAAAAATCTCTCTGAAGCTTGCTCGTCATAGATAACTAAATGCGAAAACATTTGGTTAATGGCTGCATACCTAAGTTCTTGTCTTTGTAAGCCATTATAAAACTACTTAGGCATATTTTTTCGATTTAAATCAATAAAAATAAAACATTATAAAAGACTGCCTCGTTGCTTCAGTAGTTGCAAATGATTGCCGAACATCAGGTCATTTCCAAGGTCGTGCAAAATTTCAAAAAAATACCTTTTCGGTTTTTCTATATTTTCTCTCTTGCACGGAGTTGAAATGTATCCTTATAAGGTTATAGGCCTTTAATGCATACATCGGTATCATAACGTATATGCTGAAAAAGGTTTGAAATGTAGCCAAGGGTGGGTTACACACTGTATTCCATCTCTACCTACCCCATTCGAGACGAAAAAGTCATGTTCAAAATCGTCCTTCATATCGATTGTAGTGTTTGTGTCGATAGCTTCACTGATAGTGCCGATAACGTGTAACCTCTTAGCTGAGAGCTCAGTCGGCTGCTGAGCGCCTAAAGCGACGCACGTACGCGCAAGAATTTGAATCATTCGCCAAATTTTACGTCACACAATGTGAGTTTCGTAATACATAGTATTTTTAGCTCATCTCACCACATTCATGATCACAATGTACTTAAAACAACATTCTGCCGTGTTTTTCCTAAATCATGGCTGACATTTAACTTTTTTGGAATTCTTTTTTCAAATTGCAACGTTTTTTTTTTATTTGGTTTTCTATTGTATTCGGAAAAAAGATTATTACGATATTTGTTCGATTTACAAAAATGTGTCTTGGTATTGTTGTTGATTGAGGAAATGCATCCATTATGCCGCTACTCCGTACCGAGACCATAGACTGCAAAGAATATTTTCCACAACATAAATCTCAAACAATCATCAATCATTTTTGTTCCTGTAATACCATAACCGGTATAAATAACTTTGTTAACCATAAATTAATCTTAAATCTTACATTTATTTTGAGGGGGTTTATTATTTAATAATTTCTCTCGCCCGGGCGGGGGAGGCAAAAGAGAGTGTCAGACTCTTACTGACTAAAAACCACCCTGTTCCTTCTCCTGCTCTAGGCTGAGGCCGCGGTACCTTATTGCGCTCACCCCACAAACCTGGCTCGTTCTTCTATCTTGTTTTACATGAGAACTCTTTAGGTTTGGAACTCAGGCTTTTCTCCTAATCTTGACCTTGAAAGGGGGTGGCTAATAGAAAACACACGACGCGACGTGACCTTGTCTGTGCGATCTTTAATTAGCGTATTGCTTTGCGTGACTAAAATTGGTATTATGCCTATATTTTGATAGCGTTTTAGAAGACCTAATTTGTTTTTTTTATATATTATAATGTAATTATACTTTTGCCTAATCTGAGAGTTTAATAAGAGATTTCATGGGATACGGTGGCAAACGAGCTGCTGGATCACCTAACGATAAGCAAAGCCGGTATAATTTCGTTGCTTTACTTTGATGGGTAGCTATGTTATTTTGAGATTGAGGACTAGGGGATTGGGTATGCGGTGAAGGATAGGGCTTCTAACCTCACGAAGTCACTAGACGAAAGGCATAGGAAGGGATCCTGAAAAAAAAAACGGGCGTATACCAATATCCCTGGCATCAAAGGCCGCATCATTTCGGTCGAGCCGACCCATTCGTGCTGAACCATTCGTGAATGCGGAAGAAACACTATACCTAGGTATACTAAAAAGTGTTCTTATACACCCCTTAATTGTGTCTTCCAGACTCGTATGTTTCTGTTTTAGTTATACATACATATATTGTCTTATTTATGCTTTTAAATGTTCCTATTTATTAGTTGTTTACCAATCGATTTGTCTATCATACAGAAATATTGGCCTCTATGTATTTCGGGGTCGATTAATTATATATTTTTCTATCCATTATCAGCTCTTATCTCACAGTTTAACGTTGGCAGCATCTTTATAATTTATCTCCAGTTTTAACGAACTTAAATGAATAACAAGTTCAATTCGCTTCAGACTGATTGTGGAACAAAGACTACTTTGTGTTAGAATGGAAAATTTTTGATGTCTTTAGATTACTCAATCTCTTTGAGAGTTCATGTTACATAAGCAATAAGCAAATGCAATGTGCAATAAGCAAGGAGCAGGATGAGAGAAACGGGGGTTTTTTAGTTAGTTAGTCTTTTTTTTGTCAGGGTAAAATCATCAAATGACTTCTCCTACCCAGGGTTAGGCGAGAGAGAGTGTCAAACTCTTACTGACTAAAAACCCCCGTTCCTTCTCCTGCTCTGAGCCGAGGCCGCGGTGACCCATTGCGCTTAACCCGCAACCCCGGATAGTTAATTGGAGTCTGACACTCACCCTCGCTTTACCCTGGGTTACAGAAGTCATTTCATGATTGTCTTTTTTACAAAAAGTTAATTCAAGTATTGTCTTTCTTTATCATACGTGACTCCAATTGCAGTATTTTTACTGATACATACTCAAGCTCTAAAACTCAAGTCGGTAAGTTTTAGAGCGATGTGAATGTGAATGAGTTTTTATGCCAATATTTTGGATTTAGAACGTAGAGCGAACATTTCTGATATGAGTCCACCTTTGCAAAAGTAAGATCCAAACTCAAATAGACTGATGAAAAATTAATAGTTTATTGAAATGTAAGATTGGGTTTCAAGAAGTTAGTCATGACACTATTGATATGCCACATAATATTTGCTAGTTTAACCTTTCAAAATTCGAGACACAATAGAAAAACAATAGGTTCGCTCTGAGTTTGATTAATCTATGTAAAGAAAAATGATACGCAAAGTATGTTGGTAAGCGCAAAACTCAAGAACGCCTGGACCAATTTTACCGATTCTTTTTTGTTGTTTGACATTTTCAGGAGAAGGTTCATTTAAAGAAACCCTTAGGAAATTAGAAGATAAACTTGGGGTTTTTTTCCCTGCGAGACTTTTGGAAACCCGTGGGGAGCAGGGGCGAGTCGCTAGTTTATTATAAATTTTGTTTTTGTTTCAGTAAGCGAAATCATGAAGATTGGATTTATTGGCGGCGGCAGGCTGGCCTTCGCCTTGGCGAACGGGTTTATCTCAGCTGGTAAATATTGCCTCATACATAATATACATAACATAATGTCTTTTATCTCCTGAAATGTAAGACACAGTTTTGTTTTTCTAATTGGGCATTATTATTTGAAGTTGCCCTTACATACAAGGATTTTCTGTGAAATGAAAGACACGGACAGTTTTGTTCTTTTATTAGTCACTATTATTTGAAGTTACGCCATTCTAGGATTTACTCCGGAGTTCTGGGTTGTGCACATCATACCAATGCAAGTGGTGTTCACCTTTAAGTGATTGTTACACTTTAATATTTTTGTTAAGCATGTACTTTATAATTGAAATTGTGTTAAAAATTGTTGGTGAACCTACTTATTATAATAAAATAAAATAAAATGACGATAGTGGTTATATCCTCTTTGCATTAGGTACGCCTAGATACGAAAAACGCTATGTGGATCATAGAGTTCAACCGGTAGTGAAATGTTTACGAACAACTGTCTTATCTATTTATAACTGCTCACTCAAATAATGTTTCAAAAATTTTCCTTATTAAGGATTTAGACCTCAACATATTGCATATGAAAGAACGACTAACAATTTTGTTCCGAAAGTTAAAAACTCAGTTAAGTAACCATTTAATGATTTTGAGTACCGTGGGTACGAGATCTAGCCTTCTGATTGGTTGGTTAATGTGCAGCAGTGCTATTCTGCAAATGGTAAATCGCCTTGAAACTCACACACCACTTCGCTTCTCATCTCGCCTGTGCACAAACGTCAAAATACTCACTTGTTTTAGTTAATTTCACTTCGTTATTCACATGGCGGCGCCAATGTAGATTTTACTCCATTTGAGAATATCCGCGAATATAAGTTTCTTAAAATAAAAATTATTTCACCGCGAATTCAGAAGTGATTTCGCAAATTAACTTTTGAGAATAGCGTAGCTGCTGGCCAATCAGAGCCCGGCACGTCATAAACGTCTCGAACTTTTCGTCGTTCGTTTTTGTCGTAACGAACATTCATGCTAGGCTACACTCATAAGCCACTCAACTACTGTAACAGTCATTTCAGTAACTACGTATTTAAATAACATACCTATTAACTAAGGTATGAAGTATTATAAACCACAATTATGTTGGCTTTAAGGATTTATGTATTGTGACGTCATTTGTTTGTTTAAGTAGGTAACTTTTAATTCCATCTGGTACGTAACGAACGTTGTGAATAGTTCTTGATTCAAATTTAGAAGCAGTTTATTTAGTTACTATAGCTTCTCCCTCGCGGTTTCGCCCGTTCCTTGGCTCCCTATGATAGTAGCATGACGTTTTATAGCACACAATTTTGGAAAACCGACCAGCTGTTCCAAAGGTTACCCCTTATATGCAAACCTAATAGTGACACACTTTACCTCTTTATAATATTAGTATAGATAAAATTCAAAGTATAATATAGATAAGTTTGTTATTTTTTTCTAAAGAGCGGAGATTTTCCACGCCCTGTTTATCCGTTAAAAGTTAATACCTACTTACATACTTTATAATATGCTGGATATCAAAATAAGAATTAAGTAGTTAAAACCAGATTTGGTTGCATTAAAAATAAATTATTAATTTAAAAACCTTAGAAATACTTTTTCTATTAATAACTTATTAGCTAGTGGAACTAAACCTATTTTTTCTTTCCAAGACTAACATAAAAACTACTAACACATTTGTTTTATTTAAAGGTAAGCTAATATTTCGGCTCGAAATATTCCGAATTGATTGATGATTCCATTTTGCACGAATCGATTCGCATTGCAGTACCTACCAAAGAAGTTTATTTTTAATTTTGCCAGACACGGGTCGTGACTGTATTCTTCCTTGCCATCAATTTAATTATCGAAGCAATGTCAAAAACTTTATCAAATTAACACATGATTTTAGTTGTCTATACTTTTTTATGGTATAAGTCGGCAAACGAGCAGACGGATTACCTGATGGTAAGCAATCCGCGTCGCTCATGGACACCCGCAACACCAAAGGAGTTACGAGTGCGTTGCCGGCCTCGGATACGGCCGGCCGGGGATAGGGGTTGCGGATATAAGAATCGGGAAGGGATAGGGGAAGGGGAGGGATTGGGCCTCCGGTAACCTCACTCACACGGCGAAACACAACGCTGTGGGTTGTTTCACGCCGGTATTCTGTGAGGCCGTGGTATCACTCCGGTCGAGCCGACCCATTCGTGCCGAAGCTTGGCTCTCCCACACTTATACTAATATTACAAAGAGGAAATATTTGATTGTTTGTTTGTTTATATTGCATAGAGTCCGAAACTATTTGACTGATTTGTCACCGGTGACCCCCATGGCGTTTAATGTACCTATGTTTATGATATGTTCTAGATATATTTGTTTTATAAGAAACTAGCAGCCCACCCCCGCTTCGCACGGGTCCAACTATTCCGCTAATAATGAAAGGGTCTCTTTTCCCCAGTTTTCCCCTCTACTTTTCTAATATTTTCTTTCATAAGAACCTTCTCCTGATAATAATACAAAACAAAAGGATTTGGCTAAATTGGTTCAGCGGTTTTTGAGTTATGCGCTTACAACACATTTTGCGATCCATTTTTATATATAAGATGAGTTGGGTCATCTTATTAAAAATACGCAGGTTATAATATCGTGTCTATTTGTTGGAGTTTTTCCACTGGGGGTGAAAAGTATGGCCGACGAAACGAAAGATCTGTCATCTTTGTCGAAAATTAATTATTATGTTTTCGGCTTACTCACGTAATAATTTGACGAGATGCTCGACTAGTTCGACGCGGCGACTGTCGCGCTGCTACTGTACTATGTAGCAGCGACAAAAAAACCTTGTAACCTTTTTTGGTTCTTATTGTGAACAGCAGTTCAGCAATTTTCAACACCACATGGTGTTATTCTGTGGGATAAGACCCACGTGGCTGCCGCCACAGGAGCTCCCGTAAGAGTGAGTTTTAGGATACACAAGCAGACTCGAGCTTACGGTACGTCAAGTTTCCCGCGCGCCTCTCAATCCGCTCTCAGATCACCAAAGATGGTGTCTAAGGCCTATACAGTACCCTCTGGGGAGGAGCCAGGCTTGCTGGTACAAACGCAGTTATGTATCTACTTCAGCTCGGTTTAGGGCATGAAAAGGGACGGGTTGGTGTTGAATCAGTAATGAGTCTGATACTCGCTCTCCTACAAAAGGCGCGAGATGCTATTGGCTGACTTTTCAAAGGGCCTACGTGACTCGCGAATAGTTAACCACTTAGTTTATTTATGAACGAATATCGGTCAAATGTGTATGACTAAATTACTGATTTGTTTGTTTTTCGTTAACTTTCCTCAGGTTTGGCAAAACCCGATGAGATCACAGCTAGCGTCCATCCCGCTGATGTCACCAGTGCTGAGGCATTTAAGGTAAATTTGTAATAATAATAATTTAACCTGGGGCTGATTTTTCAATAGTCAGATAAATGTTATCTGAGAATTAAAATTGTTGCTGTCACTGTCTTATACAAACATTCTGACGAGACAGCATCATAACTATTCCGCAGATAACTTTTATCTAACCATTGAAAAAGCAGCCCTAAATATTAGATTATTGTTTTTTGGTCCAAAATTCAGGAATTTTGTATGCTATACTTTTAATAGGTAATTTTAGTGTTTAGCTGTTCTTAATATTTCCCTTTAAGTGTAGTCTGTGAACCGAACAACACAATTCTAGTGCGAAAAAACAATTGATCATTAGGGTTTACAATAAAATGTATAAAATGTTTATTTATTTTTAAATCTTTGTTTGGACGAGGTAAACAGTACAGTACCTATTTATTTCCAGCCGATGAGTGTTACAATACTAAACAAAACAATTTCCTGTGGTTTTGTCCGTTTTAAATTTAGAAGATATTATTTTTAAATCGGAAATATAAAGGTGAAATTGTTTTTGAATTAGTAATTATAAAAGTTAGCATAGCCAGGCTGGGTTTGCGGAGCAGGTGTAGGAACAGGGTGCTCAGTGAGTCACGCTCCCTCTCGCCCCATTGTAGACAGGATTAGTCATTCGACATTTGATGCTTTTCACATCTCAAGAGGCACTAATATCTGTTCTAGTTTCTAAGTCTGAAAAGTACACAAACATATTAATTGTCTCTAGAAATAGAAACAGATAGTGTTATCATCCTCTTATAATATCTTCCTGCACTTTCTATTATCAGATAATTCCTTGTTATTATAATTAAAACACTCACAAACTCACAGATATCTATAACATACATATTATGTATCCCTCAATTAATATATCATGCTTAAAAGTACATTTTAATGAATTATTACTTAAACTAGACTTCGCCCGCGTAGTGTATCACCTATATTATTTACATAGGTACCAAAATTTGAAACAAATCGGTCCGGCCGTTTTTGCGTGAAAGAATAACATTACAAACATACTTACATTCATACGTTCTCACATACTTTCACATTTATAATATTAGTAGGATAGTAGACTATACCTTCTCTGTGTGAGAAGAGGCCTTTGCTTAGCAGTAACCACTTATAGGCTGATACAGTTTTGTTATGTGACAAAAATATCTTGCTTGTGTTTCTAATCACTATACTTGAGGGTCGCCTCGTTGATCAAGTGGTCCAAGCTAAGTACCTGTTGATCAGGAGTTCATTGCCCGACAAGAGAGTCCGTCATGATAACCCTTGCTGAGCAGTCACTTTTTTCCTGGGGGAACCTTTCTGAATACGGCTAGCTTTTTACGGCGAAAGACTAGTGTGGTATTTCTACCTTGCCAAAACGCTCAGCATCTGTATAGGACACAAGGTCCTCTTGTAGATTTGTTCCGGAGCCCTCATCCAATGTAAAAGCTTAAGTTTATGCACTGGAGTAACTGAACAAATTCTAATTCTTTATTAGCATTCCATATTATTATGTTAATAGACAGGTGGTACATTTGATTTGAACTCGCGCATCTCCAACCTATCCGGTGATCTAGATGGCCCCTATGTTCTCCGTAGCTTGTGATCTACTTGACTAATAGCCCAGTCATTACAGATCTCTTCTCTCGACTTGGGCACGGCGAGAGGGAGTTTCAGACTCTTACTGACTAGAAACCACCCAGTTCCTTCTCCTGCTTTAGGCCGATGCTGCAGTATATGTATGTATTGTTGCTCCTGACCCACTATTGCGGTTGGTCATAACGTATTGATAAGAGTACAATTTTGGTTCTTTATTTTTCGTCATTCATAAAGTTGTCTAGTAAAAAACACACCTGCTTATGTTTCTTTTGGACTTGCCCCCAATAATGGTGACATATGTATACTTGTACATTAATCTCAATGATGTACAAACATAGGTACTAACGTAGGATAAATTGTACTTCATTGCAACGTCACAAAACCTTGACTTTGTGCTAAAGCTAGCACGTGAGATAAGAAACGTTGAATTTTTGTTAAAGCGTATTTCTCTGTAAGAATCATATGATTTTTGTTTGAAATAGGAACTCTCTTGAGTAATTTCGTTTTTTTATAGTTCCTAATTTTTACACATTCATTATGAAGTATATAATATATAATATAGTTTTTATAAGTACCTAAGACGGATTGTGTACTAACTTGCATTTTTACCAGTACGTATCATAATACAAACTTTGGGTAAGACAACTTCTCATGTAAAACATGAGACAGGCACCTATAGAGTTAGAAGTAAAAGACATGTTTTTTTTTAAATCATTGGCTGACTCTAGCTTTTTCTCCTGTGCACGTTCGCGTTTACAATTTCACATACACATAACACCCAGACCCGAAACAACAATTTGTAGATCACACAAAAAGTTGTTCCGTGCGGGAATCGAACCCTAAACACCTTGTGAGCCAGTGCAGTCAAAAGCTATAGAGCCAATATTTGGCACGAATGAGTCTGCTCGATCGGAGTGATACCACGGTATCACAGAAAACCGCGTGAGTGAGGTTACCGGAGGCCCAATCATTCTTTCGTCCCCCGTCCCCCAACCAATAAAACTCTGAAACTCTATAATCCCCTAAGGCACTCGTAACTCTTTTGGTGTTGCGTGTCCATGGGCGGCACCAATTGCTTACCATCAGGTAATCCGTAGGTACTGTCCCATAAAAAAATATAGAAACTCATCTCAGAAATTTACAACCTTCGTTTTCAGAAACTGGGTGCTACAGCAGTCTTCGAGAACAAGCCTGTTGTGGAGAGATCCGAGGTAGTGATCGTGTCAGTAAAACCTGATGTGGTCGTGCCGGTTCTGAAGGAAGTCAAGGATCTGCAAGCTTCGAAGAACAAGCTGTTCATCTCTGTCGCTATGGGAGTCTCCACTGCTGCTATTGAGAAGGTGAAAGAAAACTTTATTACTGTACTTAAACGATATGACTTATTTTCAAGGCCAATATCACCCAAACTATCCAAAAGATTGTGATGAAACTTGGCACTCATACACAATAAATCAAGGACTAAAGACTTAACTTAGTTCATTTTCGAAATATTGTCTATGTTAGCAGTTAAGTATGTAGGACTTCAAGTATGTGTGAACTGTGAAGACTTCAAAATTCCACTCTTTGTCTTTCCAAACTCATTTTCGAAAATATACCTAATTACATTCTAAGACCTAACCCTAACCTACCAAGTTTCATTATTTTGGGAGTTGCACACAGTGGACTACCACGTAAACAATCGTAAAATAAATTAAAACAAAAAGTTAAACGACCGAGGGACCGATTAGATGTTAGACTATCGGACAGATATCCGAACAGCTGATCTCAGCAGTCTTTATCCATCGTTATTTAGCACTATCCATAATAATGAGAGATCAACCAAAATCTAGGAGGAATAGGTAGCCAAAAAGATATCCAACCAAGTTTTCAACATCAATATTAACTTATATCTGTTCTTCTCCTTCCAGGTATTACCAACAGAAGCTCGTGTGATCAGAGTGATGCCGAACACGCCAGCTTTGGTACAACATGGAGCTGCAGCCCTAAGCCGAGGTACCCGTGCTACCGCTGACGATGCCAAGCTGACCACACAGCTGTTCCAAGCTGTAGGCACTTGTGATGAAGTGCCTGAATACCAGATGGATGCTGTCACCGCTTTGAGTGGAAGTGGACCAGCCTATGTAAGTGCCCAGTACCAGACGATTGCTTAAATCCTCTTTTGTAGTTTAGGTAGGGTTTTGGACTACAGTCTGCTGTGCAATGGGTTCCATTTGAAGACAGAACGATTCCCCTTGAATAATTCCTCAAGACACAGAAGAAAATCTTAGTAGTTCTTTTTATCTCCTACTAGCATTTACCCGGGACTCCGTTCGCGTAGAATAGTGACTTCCTGCAGATTTTTGGTATAAAAACTATCCTATGTCCTTTCTCGAGTTCCAAACTATGTCTGTACCAAATTTCACAAAAATCGGTGCAGTAGTTTAGGCGTGGAGAAAAGACAGATAGACAGACAGACAGAGTTACTTTCCCATTTATAATATTAGTTTGGATTAAAATCGATGACGGAAAAATAGATAGATAAAAATAGATAGATAGATAGATTTAACGATGTCGGACAATTTATTTTATAGGCTTTACCTTCCTTCTTGTAAAAAACAAATTCAACCTTCCAGATCTACATGATGATAGAGTCTCTAGCTGATGGTGGTGTGCGTTGTGGTCTACCTCGGGACCTCGCGCTCCGACTGGCTGCTCAGACGACACTCGGGGCAGCAGCTATGGTAAAGACTGGCACCCATCCAGCAGTTCTTAAAGATAATGTCACGAGCCCTGCTGGGTCTACCGCTGATGGAACTTATCATTTGGAGCAGAATGGTAAGTTTTGTAAAAAAAATACGGAATAGGGAACAAATAAGTTTACACCTGATGATAATAAAAACTTTCTTCTGACAATAACAAACACAACTAAAAGGAATTGGCTATATTGATCCAGTCCAGGTGCTATTGAATATGCGCTTCACGAAACCCCGAGCGACCGTCGGCGTTCGCGCTCCTAACCTCTCGTGTCTCGAATTGGTTTACCATATGTAAATAGATAAACGATGTAGGAAGCCAATAGATGCTAATGAACAAGGCTAATTATTACTGATATTTCTCAGAGCACATTATTTTTAACCGACTTCAAAAAAGGAGGAGGTTATCAATTCGACGCGTATTTTCCCACGCGGTTTCACTCAGGAACATTGTAGCTATCAATAAGTGAAAGAATTTTAGGAATCCGAGTAGCGGTTCCAAAGATTACCAGACTAATATTACAAGACTGCTTGTAATATTCCTGAGTAATCAACATTGCTTTTACTAATTGATTTGTCAGCTGATTTTTTATTGGCCCCACTGGGAAAAAATAACTCTAGTCTCGAATAACTACGATTGAAAGGTTAAACTGTACTTATATTTTTTTCGCTACCTTTCTAGGTTTCCGTTCAGCTGTCATCGGTGCTGTGGCCGCGGCCGCCGATAGATGTAAAGTGGTCAACAGCCAACTCAACAATACACCCTAGTGTTCGCAGCATATTCTAATGTAATTAAATACAATTATGTTTTACTAAGAGTACAACGAATATTAATTTCGTAAATTAAACGATTTTCAATATTTTTGGTGTTGTTTTTTTATATGATAAGATGTCAAACGAGCTAACGGATTACCTGATGGAAAGCAATCAGCGCCGCCCATGGACACCCGTAACAACGGAGGAGTTACGAGGATTCGGCTTCCGGTAACCTCACTCACACGACAAAACCGTTTTCTGTGAGGCCATGGTGTCACACCGAGTCAGGATCACCACACTTTTGTGTGTTTCTTCTTTATTATATATAGTGCCTTAACCCGTGGTATGCCGGGAGCGCAGATATACGCGAGACACAATGTGTTTTCTATTGTCTCATATACCGGCAGACTAGCGGTTAAGTTAAGTAGGCTTACTCACATCACAACCTAAAGTACGTAGGTAATTAAACATTGTCAATATTAAGATATTCATAAAAAGTTTTCAGAATGATAAACCTGTCGAAACCTTTTTTGTATGTTTACGTCGCTCTGGATAGGTTGATATTTTTGTATAATGGCAATAAATATGGGAAGGTAAACCCAGAGTGGGAAAAGACTCACCCTGAGTAGGGTGAGATGGAGTATCAGACTCTTACTGACTAAAAACCATCCAATCCTATCTCTTGCTCTATGGTTGGGCCGCGGTATACGTTACCTATTGCTCTTGTACGGTAGCACTTATAAACCCGGACCTGGCGACATCTATGGAAGAAAAAAGAAACTACTCTGTCTGAATATTAAAATTTATTTTCTTTCGTATAAGTACATTTCGAGTGAACGAACAGTTTCCACATGAAGCATGTATACCGTAAATTATATTTGTTGAGTGAAAATTAATGAAAAGAAAACATGGACAGATTGTAAAATAGGTTCTTTGAGTACCTAATCGTATTATCCCTGAAAAGTTTCATACACTAAGCTACATGGTTTGGTTTATTGATATTAATGGGTGGTTAGCAAGCACATGGTTGAATTTCTAGTCGAATTTAGTCAATATCTGTGTTCTGCTATTTATTAATAAGGTAAGAATCTTTAGCGCCATCTAGTTTGTAAAATAAATATTAAACTCATAGACAATTGGGTCTTTCAAAATACCGCCTCAAACTGTTTTGATTCTGATTCAACATAGGTGGCGTTAGTAACAATGGTCATTTGACAGGAATTACATTTTGTTATCTGTGTACAGTTGAAAACGAGTTTATTGTCTTCCGTTTTTGTCCCCAACGGCTCACCACCAGTGAATAAAATAAAATGAAACGTCACTCTCTAAATGGAGAGAACTGAATTGAATCAAATTGCATTCAGGCTGAACGTGAATTAGCGACCTTGTGTCACCGCAGCCAATTGCCTAGTGATCTGTTGTTACGGCCGGTGCTTCTGTTTACATCTTATCAACCGATTACACAGTGTAATTCAGTCTTAGGAACGCCGCGGTTGTCGGCGTATGCTTATTAGAACTTCAAAAATAGAATGCAAACGTTGTGTTGTGATGTGAAGGCTCCGTGGATTCGGTGCGATTTGAGCTGACCTTCCATCTGAGTAAAGACATCGACCCACGCTGTCTAATAAAGAGACTCCTACGCGGCTCGGCCACCGATAGGAACTGCGTCGTCTAAACAATACAATGAGCGAAATTATGAGAAATACTAACACTGTCGTGTTGCAAACTTAAGCTGTGGACGTTTAAAAATAAGTCGAAGTGTTTATATCGTTAAAATCTGTGCGTATCTTTCGTCAATTTGAAGGTGTGTGCAGTGTCTCGTTTGCTATCGAAACTACCGAATTCCGTCATCAGCCAAGGCTATTGTGTATAGAAACTTGATGATCTTCAACTGTGCAAACTGGTGTGTATTACCTAATTTATTAATTTAATCATATTCGAATTTATTCGACCTTCCTTAATTTTAATGAATCTTCTAAGAAACAACATCACCATTGTGTTTATTTTTTTTGTTGACGAATATATGATATTTCCCTATGTTTATAAATGGACAATAACCAATTGCTAACATTATAATCCAGGAACTTAAAGTCTTAATATAAAATAACAGCTAAAAAAATCTATTTAAAAACCATAACCCGGCCATACTCTGGCCTTAAATGCATCAACACCAAAACATTTTTTCTAATATGTTTACTATTGGAACTATTCTAATTTCAAAATATTCTAAAACACATACCATGGTCTATGATATTATATTTAAGGATTTTAATCTTGACCCCCTCTCTTAATTTCTATCATACACCATTGAATGTGCAAACTTATATTTATAATCTGTGTACTTAAATTACTTAGGTAGCTTTGTTGACCTTGGTTAGTTCAAGTTTTTATTGAAGCTGTATGTTATATTATCTTTGCTAAGAATACACTATCAAAGGATAATATACCTACTTACTGCTATGCTTATTTGAAGTCTTCTCATTGGTATTTTTAATACATTTTTATTCTTTTGTTTGTGTATGGGTACCTATTAAACAGAGAGTTTATAAGTTTTTGCCTGAGCTGATAATTTAATTTATAATATTATGACTTTCGAGGTTACACACATTTTATGTGTGTTCTTAAATTAAATTGGCACTTTTACTGTTACCATTACCTTATCAAGTTTGACACAATTGTTAACTGTGGAGGTCTTAAAAATATTTCAAGAATTTTATCTACACTTGTACAGTTTGTGGGTTTACCAAATCAATTTAGTTACTGACAGGAAATATTATACAACTGACCGCTTTGATAACTAATTACCTTATTAGATCACTTTCTAAGCAATGGGCATTAAAAGAAAGTTGGTTAGATTCTAGTTGGAAATTAATACTAAAAATAGTCTTTAAACAATTTATATGTTGCATACCGTAACTACTTTAAAGGAAGAAACTAGTTACTGCCAGCGGCTTTGCTTACAGTATCAGGGTAAAAATAGCCTATGAGTTATTCCAGAATATAATCTTCTGTGTACCAAATTTCATTTAAATCCATTCTGTAGTTTTTATGTGAATTATGAACTAATATCTATACATACATAATTACAAAAATTTTACATGAAATATATTATTGGATTTGTGCCATAGAATCTGATATTGCGTTAAAATGAAGTCTCATTATAAAATGTTTGTTTAAAGTTCTTTTCTGTTTTTATAATCCCCACACATATCTCCTTCTGTTTATGAATAATAATCTAGTGCGCCTTACCATCAACGATTGCATCACTGCTTACCATCAGGTGGGATCGCAGTTGACAGATTTATTGCAAGTAAAAAAAAAATAAGAGGAATAGTTGGAAAATCAATCATACATAGAACCAGCGGTACTTTGGGTCAGGAAACTTGTATGTCCTGTCCTACTAAAACAGACCCTTTACTAGACAGACAGAATTTTAACTGCATTTTGCAAAGTATTTCAATATCTGATGAGATTTCAGTGATTTGTTTTTATTAAATTTTTAGGATATGGCATTTGAGTTCATTTAGTTTAACTTGGTTGGCTATAGATAAGAGATAAAGTTTTTTCGTTGGCTGTGGCCAACACTGACATTTTAGCACACACTTTTTGGTTTTGTCCTCTACAGTTGATTGGGGCAGTTAAGAGGATGAAAAAGAAGGTTCTAGTAACAATTAATTGGGGCTGCTGTAGGATTTATTAAAAAAATCTGCAAAGGGACTAATTTCTTTTTTATATACTTTAGGGAGATAATAGACTAAAATTTAAACAACATTACTCAAACTAAAATATATCTGTCCAGTTCTAATAATATCAAAGTAATACCATATAACATCCCATATAAGTTTCTGGTGCCTCAATTCTACCTAGCAATCATTATTTATGACCTAATCTAGCATTGAAGAACAGTATTACATTGTATACTATATACCTTGATAACTTAAACTATTAAGTATTAGTACATAAAACATGAATAATAACTGTGTTCAGTATTAGATCAGCGCTAATATTAAAAAGAATCTTACCTCATAATATCTTAATAGTAGATATTTTGTGATGTCCGTAGACTGAACCTAAATGTACTTGGGTCAATATTATATTATATTCTTCCTGCCCAAATCAAGTGCCTAAAACAAATGCCTAAAAATAATCCAACCTCCTAGCATAAATATTTGCAAATAATAATGATGATTAAATAGAGAAAAAAGCCATGAGTAGGTACTATCAATATAATGATCTATTGTAAATTTACTATCTTTACCCAAAGACTTTTCATCTATTGCAGAATGCATTACGGCAGCTATAAAAAATGGCGGCAAAAAATTTGAACGTCGAATAGAGAAGGCATGTTCTAGTTGGGTCGTGCGAAAACTGTCAAAATAAGGAAGTCAGCAGGTCTGCTCTGCTACAAACTGAGGATGGATGAAAGTGACGTCATCATATCATCCACGGAGATTATAAAAGGTAAGTCGAATAATAGGCCATTTTAAAAAGCCGACAATGCGCCTGTAGCTCCTCTGGTGTTGCAGGTGTCTATTGGCGGCGCTGAACACTTAACATCAGGTGATAGGTCTGCTCGTTTGCTTCTTATTCCATAAAAAAATACGATAGCCTTTGAGTTTTGAGCTATTTTACTTCTTTAATTCACGAACCGTAATCATACCTACTAATTTATTTATATTCAATGAAGACACAGGAGGTGGTCATGTATATTAAACAATAGCTACTCTCGCGCGGTTTCACCCGCTGCTCGGTTCCATTTCATCGTAGCGTGATGCTTTATAGTCTATAGCATTCAGGAACATTGTAGCTATCTATCAGTGAATTTTGGCAATCCGGCAATTTGGCAAACATTACCCCCTACATACAAACTCACAAATTTTACCTCTTTATAATATTAGTATAGACTAAACAGTAAAAAAAGACATCACCTACCAATCCCATGGGAAAGATGGCGTATAATCCTATGACATGTGTCAAAAAATTTTACCTGACGCAGACTAGGGATGCAAAAAGTTTTATTTATTTAAAACCAGTTGTAGCAGCTTTGAGAGCTAATTGTCGCGACCGACTCCTACTTGACTCATTTGAATAATAAATATGTATTTTGATACTTTTCGCTACCAAAAACAGCTAGGACGACCATCTGCTCGAAGACAGTAGTTGTCATAGCCAATTTTTGAGTTTTTGTAGGTGTTTGTAGATAAAACGTAATGTAGGTAAGCTATCTTTGAAGAATCATTTTTTTTTCATTCACAAACGGTCAGGCGAATTACCTGATGGTAAGCAATCAGCGCCGCTCCTGGACAACTTTGAAGGAGTTGCCATCTTTTTGGGATGATTAGGGTTTTGAAGATTTAAGGATGGGGCCCCCAGTAACCTGACTAAGCTAGCAACTAATCATTTTACGATATTTACCACTAAAACTAGGAACAAGCTTTTCTTCAAATTTTTCAAAACAATGATTTCCACACTATGTTTCGTCTTTGCGAGTCTCTTTCAATTGGGTACTAGAGTTAGTCACAAATAAAGTAACAAGTTAGAATTTTCAATGCAATAAAATATGCAAAATTGACACGCAAAAGTAGCACTTCCATTACGTGAAATCGATTTTACCATATATTTATTTTAATATTCGTATTTTTTTACTAGCTAATTTTCCAGAAATAAAAGTATGATAGTTTACACAAAAAGAAACTTACACAGTATAGAAAACTTGGAAAAAATATATAATTAAAACTGTCAAATAGCCCTTTGAGTTTGTTGTCTCTCTTTACGCCGAGCGCCATTTTCACCTTCTAGCCATTTCTGCGAATTTTAAATAAAGAATATCTGAAAAATGCCTGACTTTTAAATCAAATCCTTTACGGCAGTAACGCTCAACCATTCGATCAAAGAATCCTAATATCCTAATATCTGAATCTTCGAAATGCCAAATGGCCGTTAATATTTCGCTAAACAAATATCCAAATGTTGGGTATATCAAGCGCCCAAGGCATAAACAGCTACGCCACAAAACCTCCCTAGAAACTGAATAGTGTTACACTATTTTCGCTCTTAACAGTACATTAGTACGTATTATCCATAAGTCACAATTTCGCGTGTGGATATTGCCAAGGTCGTTTACAAGGACATTCGCTGACCTTATCGCGTATTAGCCTAAGTCCTTTCAAAGGTTGGGTGGGCTATTCTTACAAGGATATCAACCTTCTAGTTTTGGGCGTTTCTACATAATATGCGATGTGAAAGCAGGTACATAGTTGATTATTTATCTGTGAGATAAGGATCAATATTTTAGGTTTATTAATGTCTTAACTTTCTATAGTTCCTTTACACACGCTTTGAATAGCTATTAGATGAATTAAAAATGTAACTTTGTATTCAGAAAGTTTCTTAAATAGAACTTATGAAGGTTTAAAATTTTTCGACAAATTACTGCTTTTCGAATTTTAAAGCTAAAAAGACAACTCGATCTCTATAGTCCCTTAATGATTAGAAACTGACTAAAAAGCGAACGAAATTGTTTATAATATGTTGCAGTATTCGCCTTAACGGCAACATGGTGTTTATACATGGTAAACTGTAACCGAACAAACGGTAGTGAACAAATGTGCAGAATATGTGTTCTGAGAAAAAAACTACAGACTGCAAACTTACTGGATTGCCCGGAGCAGGAGAAGGATCGGGGTGGCTTTTAGTCAGTAAGGGTCTAACACTCTCTCTAGCCGCACTCAAGGGGACTTCTCTCCCCAAATGTCTTCCCATTTGATGACTTTTTCCTCAAAAAGAATAAAGTGTTTTTTCATACGATAGTCGTATATGCACCAGCCCTAAGATAACGTATCGGTGGATAAGAAATAAGTATTAAATTATGAACTGATAAAACGGCTAATCCGTCTTACGATGGAGTGGAAACAATGCTGATAATGCATATTCAGTATCGGTCAGGTTATTAACCGAGGTTGCCGTCGCCTTGACGCTCGTTTAAGACATGTTTTAAACCTAGAACATGTAGGCCCTAAATATTTTAGAATACTAGCTGAATTAATAAGGACGAAAATTGTTTGTTTGTGATGTGAAAAGTGTACAAAAATGGTCTTCTTTTTTCCCCTCTGTAGTGCGGATACTCGCAAATATAAAATTTGCCAGTTACCTATTATTAATGGTAAGTTATACATATAGATTTTACTACTTAATTATTATTTTCATACTAGCGGCCCGCCCTTACTTCTCACGGATCTCCAACCATCTAGCTAAAGATGAAACGGTCCTATTTCCCAGATCTCCCCTCTACTTTACAAATCTTTTTTTCATTTGACCAACATATTTTACGCTTTATTTTTATTTAAACAGATTAAGTCGTTATTCTTAAACTCTCATGTTTACATGGATTATACCAGTTTACGTAGTTTAGTCAATTCACCAATTCTTTCTGAATGAACACCAAATTTAATACCGTTTAGCCGGAAGACGTCAAGCTTTAATTTTCAACGAAGGTCGCCTGTCGGCTGTCAATGTCATTGTCTGTAGTTTTGTGAATTACGCGTTTTGAAACTTTTCGATAAATTGAATTCTAGTGTTTTAAGTCCACTTACAGTTGAATTGCAGACGCTTATTTTGTTGAAGACTATTTTGCCCTCTTATAGAGTTGTGTTTGCTTAAATCTGTTGTCTCGAAAAAAAGCACGAAAAATTGATAATACTGGCATAAATTTGCAGATATGAAACTATGTTACAACCGTTGTGTTGGGCTATCTCTAAAATATATTGGAATAGGCCCCGTGTACCTAACGAACTTATTCATAAACATTTTTGTCACAGAAAGAATACTGTTATGCTTACAAAACATGTCCAAAAAGCGAGGCTACCATTTTCGTATTTTAGTATTATCGCCGCGTCTACTAAGCACGAAAAATTCATTACTTTCCGGGGAACCTACCCTTAAAGTCTACATCTTTGGTGAAGACCTTATTCTTAAGTATTGGTTTCATTAAACTTTATTACTTAACAAAGTGTCCTACTAGGTGTAGTGGGTGTAACGATATGCCAGAATGACGTCGTCTCGAGTTATTGCACATTACGTTCGATGACGCCGGCTCCGTCAAGTCTGACCTTCGTTGGTGATTAACCAGTTGTTTTACTACGCTTAAACTGGTCACTAATATGTTTCTATTGTTTTTGCCATGTAAACAAATGTTAGTACTTGTGTTTTTGTGTAATTGCGTCGTTTCTTAGTTCGCATGTACCGACAGCCTTCTGAGACAGTCCGAACTGTGAATTTGTTCAAGTATTATTAAGGTTTTTTTTTTAAATATTATTATGATTTATTTATTTATTTAAACTTTATGCAACAAAACATTACATAAGCGGACTTAATGCCGTAGGCATTCTCACCAGTCAACCTTAGGGTGATGCAGAGAGAGTATGGTAGGTGCAACAAGAAGAGAACTTTGAGACGATAAAAAGATTAAATAATGATTCTAAAATTGAAAGTGATTTTGCATAGTTTAGCCTGTTTTATAATGTCTATATATAAAGTATAATATACAACTAGCGCCCTTTAAATACGTCTACTGAATAATATATTTAGTTTTAAGTAAAATAATGTGGAACTTTGCTTGATTTTTTTCTTTTTACTCTACTGTAATAGGGTTATCACCTGTCATATCGGGGCTTGTAACTTCTGTATGTAACTGATCCCTTTGCTTTTAGCGATTGGTGTCGCATCATAATTGACTTGACAAATAATATGATGGTAATTCGTTCCCGTATTTTTCTTTATGAAACTGATATGTTCTTGAATAAATGCATGGTTTCTTACTTAAATAAAACAAATGTTATGTTTAGCAGCGATAAAAAAGTAATTGAAATATGACTCGATAATTTCCTATCTTTTATAATCTTTTAGCTATCAAAACTCAAAACTGACACATACTAATGTTTATTTGTTTCGGGTAAAAATTAATCTTTTGCTAAAGACACACAAATTTGCACAAATAAAACTGCGGTGATGCAAATGTATCTATAATATAGGAGCCACTTACTTCTAAGCATTGTCGTTAATGTCTAAAAATTACTAAAAATCATGAAACTCGGGTTAAAAAATTGCTTTTATCAAAAAATTATAATCAGACTGAACCTTGGGAAATGCCCCAAACTTAGATTTTGTGGCCTTCAGAAATCAAGGATTCTTGATAAAGATCATAAAATATTCAACCCCAGTATTCTATGTACTTTTAACTGTATATTTTAATTAATTGATTTGTTTAGCAAGTTCACATAGTTTTATAACCTTTCCTGGCATTTTTAGTACGACAAGTTTTGTACGGGTAGCCTTTTTAAGTCCAATCAACGGTGGACTCTTGATCTGAATTGACCATACAGGTCGTAGTTGCATGAAGTGACACATACCATACTCTTTTTTATATCTTACTAGAGGGTTCCTATGTCAATATTTTTAGAGATAAACTCAAGTTTTTGAGCCATGGAGTCTTCTTACGGCAGCTAAGAATGCCATAAAATTTCAAGGTGTTGTCAAAAAAATGAATTTCAAATCTTGTAGACTAGTTTTTGTTCTCAAAATATTGAAATGTCCTCATCAAGCTTCTTTGTTTAACACATTAAGCGCCATAGGGGTCATCGGTGACCTCCGTTAGCGGAGGATTTGCCTTTAACATTTTTCTGTCGGCAGTCAAAGGCTTAATTAGTTAGAAAAAGTATGTCGGTTGAGACCTGATAGCAGCACCCTAGATAAATTCTGCTGAGCAAAGACCTCTTCTCACCAGGAGTAGGTTTGAACATTGATCACCACTTACTCACTCGCTTTTTCTTTCACCGTATGTCAGAAGTGTGTAAATAATCATAGGAAGTAGTTACATACAACTTGGAAAAAGTCCCATTAGTACTTGCCAGGATTCGAACCCGCACCTTCGTTCGTTAAAAGATTTTTAACCTCCCGGGCAAAGACCGGACGTTAGAGCAGCACCCTAAATCTTGAAGAATGTGGTCTGCCCGCTTGCCATACGTAAATATCATGACAAACCTGGTTATAGTTATATATACTTACCTGGTAAAGAAGACCTAGACTAAGTATTAACTGTAAGAAAAGAAAATGTAGTTTTACCCCCTCAGCATGTGGTTGGAGTTCACCAGCTTCTTAGGCTCTCACTTCTAACATGTAATATTACCTAGAACGTTAATTACTAAATAAGTGTTGTAACAATAAATTGAACACACGTTCTCGAATAGGTAATAAAGTAGTTAACAACAACGTTTGTTAATACCGGTGTTTAAATAATTAAATTGGTCAGAACTCATTAGTGAAAATAATACTCAGAGTTATTGTGCTTGTTGTTAGCCATCGGGTTCTTTAAACTTGTATTAACTTAGCGTAACAAGTACAACAACAGTAGACTCGATTTCTATATTTAGGGGTATACAATTAATCGCAGGCGTATCCAATAATGATAGAAACCTTTTTTCGAGTGGAACCAGCATCATCATCAACTAATGTGCCTGTGATAATCCAATGCTGACCACGTAAAATGGTTTTTTTGAGGGGGTAGAAGTCATTTGCTGATTGCAAATGACTTCTCCCGTCCTATGTCGGCTAAGAGGCAGTGTCAGCAATGGCTTTAAACCTTTAAGAAACGAGCGTACTCCTTCTTCCTAGCCGGCAAGATGCCTGTGACTCCTTTGATGCTGCAGGTGTCCATGGGCAGCGCCGATCACTTACCATCAGGTGATTCGTTGGCAAAAGAGCAGGCGGATTACCTGATGTTAAGCAATCATCAGCGCCGCCCATGGACACCCGCAACACCAAAAGAGTTACGAGTGCATTGCGGGGTATCGGTAAGAATCGGGAATGGATTAGGTATCCTCCAGTAACTTCAATCAACGCTGCGGTTGTTTCACGCCGGTTTTCTGTGAGGCCGTGGTATCACACCGGTCGAGCCCACCCATTCGTGCCGAATCTGGGCTCTTCCACACTTAAATAATATTCAATATATACTTAGTCGGGTCATAAGTTCTGTCAAAACCTTATATTTTTAATTTTCGATTACTGGCCAGAAATTCTTCGACTTATTTTAAAAATAGAACTTTCGCGCTTGTAGAAAATAAAAAAGAAATTATTTTTTATTCATTTTTAAATATGGAGTGGTCGAATAAAGAAGACAGAATCGCGGTTATCGCGTTGCACCGCTGTGGTTACGCGCCAAAAGACATTTTCAATATTCTTCAAAATTTGAAAATAACGTTACGGTTTGTTTATCGTACTATCAAACGATACACCGAAGAGTCAAGCTTCGAAGATCGTAAGAGAAGCGGCCGACCTCGCACAGTTCGGACACATAAGGTCATCAAAGCAGTGAAGGCGCGAATCGAACGAAATCCCGTACGTAAACAAAAAATCCTAGCTCTGCAGATGGGGCTAAGCAGAACCACTGTTAAAAGAGTACTAAATGAAGACCTGGGACTACGAGCTTATCGTAAAAAGACAGGACATTTTTTGAACGAGCGTTTAAAAAAAATTAGGCTAGACAGATCCCGCGCTTTGCTACGACGGTACGCGGGAAAAAAATACCGCGAAATTCTTTTTTCGGATGAAAAAATTTTTACTATTGAAGAAAGTTTTAACAAACAAAATGATAAGGTGTATGCCCACAGCAGTGAAGAAGCAAGCGCGCGTATTGCGAGGGTCCAGCGTGGGCATTACCCTTCCTCATTCATGGTTTGGCTTGGAGTCTCATATTCAGGCGTAACTGAGGTGTTTTTCTGTGAAAAAGGTGTGAGAACTAGTGCCGAAGTTTATCAAAATACTGTCCTAACAAACATAGTGGAACCTCTTTCTCAGACAATGTTCAGGAACAGGCATTGGATATTCCAACAGGACTCTGCACCGGCTCATAAGGCACGAAGTACGCAAGACTGGTTGATCGCTCGTGGAATTGACTTCATCCGGCATGAAGACTGGCCCTCTTCTAGTCCAGATTTAAACCCACTGGACTACAAGATATGGCAATATTTGGAGGAAAAAGTCTGTGCTAAACCTCACCCGAATTTGGAGTCTCTCCGAGCATCTCTGGTTAAAGCAGCGGCAGACATAGATATGAATGTGGTGCGTGCAGCGATCGATGACTGGCCGCGTAGATTAAGGGCATGTGTT